CCCCCCCCAAGCCTAAACCGGGGGAGATTGTTGTGCAGCTACGGTGGGGGGCCGTTGAGTCTTAGTCCAGCTGATGGAGCTGATGGAGCGGGCAGGTGCTTTTTAAAAACACTCGGGGCTCTGGGAACCCGGGGTGCTCGCTTTCACACCCGGAGGGCAGGAGGAGCAGCGTGCGCTTTCCTGCCCTGAGCCTTGGGGGTGGCGATTCCGTGCCATCTAGTTGGATGGGCTTTTTGAACATTCCAAGCTACGCTTGCGTCCGCCTCGTCAGGCCGAGACTGGCCACATGGTGGTGCCCGCGGACCTCTGGTCGACTGGCCAGTGGTCCTCTGCGGTGGGAGGCGTGGGAAGCACTCCCCAAATCGCCGGGCGCATCCCGAGAACTGGAACGCTGCTCGCTCTCAGCCCGGGCTCTGGGACTTGTCCCGAATCACACGGTACTACAGGCTGACCTGGGAGGGCACCCCAGGCTGCCCGATACCCTGGGCCCCTCTCACCCCATGGTGTTTCCTTGAACAGAGAAACAAACCAGGGTTCCCAAAGCAGCCTCCCGAGGAAAGCTTTCCGCCATTTCCTGCCCCAGATTGAGGCTAGAGGCCACAACAACAACAATGACACCAGTTGCCATCAGCTGACTCCAACGGCCTGGTGACTTCCTGTGTGCCAGAGTAAAACTGCCCCACAGAACTTACAAGGGCCGGTTTTCCATAAGTAGATTGCCAGGCCTGTCTTCCGTGAGACATCTGGGTGGACTTGAACCACCAGCCTTTCAGTGAGCAGCTGAGTATAGGAACTCACTGCTCCACCCCAGGACTCCTCTCAGAAAATTCCCAGAGCCTAGCTGTGACCTGGGGGTTAGGCTCATCCATCTCCATGCACTTATCTGCAAACAGCAATATGATCCCAACTGCCTGAGCGCTTGCGGAAGCACGTGGGCACAGGGAGGAGGAGCCACGGCCACGGGAAGTGGAATCTGCAAAGCCAACCATTCCTTACCATTCCCATGGGGCTTCCCTCAGTTCCCAGGGGGGCACAGCGAGCTCCGCCCCAGGCGCAGGGAGGTGGTGGGCGGGCTTCCTGGCACAACCTTGCCCTCCATTCTCTCCTGCTCAAGCCTTTTAGTTCCAGTACTCGGCTTCTCCAGCTTAGCCCGCCCCAATCCGATCCCTCATGCCCACTGAAGCTGGCACACTTCCCCGGTCCCTGAGGGCCCCGGGACTCCACTGGGGGTGAGTGTGACAGGAGAGAGAGGCCATCTTTCTCACCTTATCCTGTCTCCAGTCGCCTGCTCCAGGGTTCTGGACTCCCGGGGTGGATGGGGGTGGGGGTGGAAGGGCAGGCAGTAGGCATTTTCTGGAGACCAAGATGGAAGCTCTGGGTATCTTGGCAGTCTGGGGGTGGTGGAAGGGCAGGGAGAGGAAGGAAGGAAATCTACCTAGCATCCCAGCTTTACACGCTCTCATTGTCTTACCTGAGCCCAGCGTCTGTGTCCTCCTCCTGCCCAGGCGGGCCTCTAGAAGAAGGGAATATGGTCAGGAAATCAAGGGCTTCTGTCCCCAGAGCCACACGCATCAGTCCCCAAGGGGCCAGTTCAATAAAACAACGATGCACCAGCCTGACGTGTAACTCGGGCCACTGGACACGTGCTGTCTAGGCCGTGGCTCATCCACAACCCCCTGGTTTGAGACCTCAGCTCTAGTTCCACTCCCATCTGATACCCAACTCCCTTCGACTAGGGGTCAGCCACGCTGGCCTGGATGTACCCAATGACAGAGAATGGCCTGCCTTCGAAGGTGCTCAAGAAAAGCCCGGGCCTCCTTGCGCACCCCCAGCAGGGCTGGCCCTCCCACATTCAGCAAGTCAATCCCATTTCCTCAGAGAGACCTGCCATGTGTGTGGAGCCTAGCTTCTCCCTTCCCGGGTTAGCAACAGCAGCAGCACCGTGCCTATGGGCTCGGTTCTGTCTCTCTAGAACTCTGTTCCATGGGTTTGTTTTGTGCACGTTGGACACATAGCTATGATTCATCACAGAAAACACAAAACGAAAGGAACCCGGCTCGTGGAAAAGTCTCTGGAGGCAGAGCCTAGAGGAACCCAGCACACACGTCCACGTGCTTAATCCTCCCATCACAGATTGTAACGATGCTCGGGAAGTGTCCTACGACAGGGAGGCCCACTGGAGCCCTGGGGTTTTCAACGCCTGATTTGGGGGAAGTGGATCACCAAGCCTTTCTTCCCAGGTACCGCTGGGTGG